TTTACTTTTTCTGGTATGATAATCGTCGGCAGATTTTTAACGGTGCCTGTACACACTAAACTGTTTCTGAGCCCTCATGTCCACAACTGCCCCGTGACAACACTGATTTAGTAGAGTACTTCAGGGCGATTTTTGAGATATTGTACGTACACATCTATATTTGTTCATACGTATGAATATCGATATTAAAAACGCTTCCTTCTTGGGACCGTACTGTAATAACAAAAAATGGCCTGTCCTTAAGAATAGAGTGCATTTTGCGGAACCGTTAAGAGAATGTGCACAATTCATTAGGATTTTAAGTGTATTTTATAAATCAAATTTAAATGCGATTCTGTATGAAAATTCATTAGATTATGATTTCTTGTAACTTCCATGAACACAATTGTTTAACAATAAAACATTATAAATAATGTGTTTCTTATACATTGGCACATTATTACTGTTTGCAAAATTTTGATTTTTCTTCTTTGCTCACTATTTGTATATACAGTATACTGTTAGTCAAAGAAATGCATGAAATAATATTACCAAGAAGATTAATATTTGTCGCGGCTGGGTTCATTCTGCAGCATTCATAATAACACCGTTTGTACATACTATATTTATTGATCTGATACTTAACCCAAACTGCATTTACGATTGTTACCCAGAAATTATAATAAGTTAATATGCAAGGGTATACGGTAAATCTTTAATGTAGTTGACCGTTTTCGATAATCGAACCTTGTATATATACGGTAACTAGTATAATACGTAATAAATAGCATTATTCGCTTCCCATTAAAGTTACGAAACGAAATATTACATTCTCAAAAAAGTTACATCATCTAAACATACTGATATACGAATATAAGAATGTGCGGTGTATGGCGAGCGACCGTTCAAATTCGTAGATGATTCATTTCCATACAATACACGCGATTGTCAACCAATCATATCTCGAGTTTTATCAAATTGGCAAATCAGATTACAAAAAAAAGTTGTGGGATTCAAAGAATATGTTATAGAGCAAAGCAAAAACATTAATGTTAACGTTAATTCATCCGTTAAATTAAGATACCCGAGCTTTTAAAAGAAGTATTGTAAAATGTATAAAAAAAAATATTTATCAATCGTGTAACCATATCGGAGTAATTTGAACGGTCGCTCCTATACGGCGCACGGCATTTCTACTTATACGGCAAAATGTGTCGTATTGCTGTGAAATTTTTCTTGGGGGTAACTACCCGTGAGAATTTATTGCACTTTTCAAATTATTTGTGATCAGCAATCCGAAATCTAAAATAAATGCGAATACATGATTGGCTAAAAATTATTTTCAACCAATCACAAAATTGCATTTATTTTAAATTTCTGATTCCCAGTGCGATACGTGAAATTTGCTGATCACAGTGATTTGAAAAGCGCAATACTTGGTCATAATACTTTAAAAAAATAAAATTTATTTAGATATACCTTTTTAAGAACTGATTTTAACTTTAAATAAATTAAGCTGTCTGTAATACAAATATTTATCAGAACTTCTTAGGGACTTTAACATTTCATTTGATTTAGATTCATAAATCTCAAAGTAAAATTCATCTCATTAATTTCACGCAATTGCAAACAAATATAAAGCCTTCTTTACCCTTATTTATTTTTGATATCAAGTAATTGAAAATGTAAATATCTTGAGCTTGTCAGAAGTTCATTTTACTGACTGAAATTTACTTTTTAATAAAAATTCATGCTGATTAACGTATATTCAGCCATTAAATCTTTGAAGAATATATGTAATTCTAAGAAATCATATTTGGATTAATTAAAATTTAATTTGAACTATTGATATATTGATACAAAATGAATACACATGGTTTTGACATCCTTCGGCCTATACACCTTATCAAATTGATCAAGAAACAATTTCTCTAAAATTTTATATTTTTCAATGATGCAACTGCTTTAATTCGGTGGATGTTACACTGAGTTGTTACACAACTGATAACGAACTTTGTTATATTATTTACAATACTTTTTTGAAAAGCTTTTGTGCCTTACCCTTTCTAAGTGTAGAAAATTTTTTAAGAATTCGAAGCTCACAATTTGCTTTATAACATAATTCTTGAATCCTTATGAATCCCAAAATTTTGTAAATCAGTAATTCGATTGAATTTAGCATGAATATCACTTCCATATTCGGATGGTCTCTGCTGACACAGCTATAAGTACTACGTTGGAATGTGAAATGACACGAACTTAAGTTTTCCACCAGAAAAACTTCTTTCGCGAGAGTATTCAACTTTTTAAAGGTAATAGTTAAGCTGAATTTAAGATTAAAATTTGACCAAGATCATGAAAATTAAAATGCTATAATATTTAGTAAATTAATATCATATATTAATTTACTATATATATAGTATATAATATTAAATAATAATAACTAATATTAATTATTGATAAAAAAAGGTAGCATTTCTTATTTCGAAGGCAAAATTTATCAAACGAATCGTATAAAAACACCGACACCAAGTTCACCAACAAAGTCACCACACAATCGTCGAGAGCTTCTAATAACGATAACTACACCAACAAGTGTTGTTACAGATCAATCTAATCCGTCATCACCAATTTCACCACCGGATTCAATACAACCTAATTCAATGGCATCAGAATTACCACAATATCGACTTTTGCTCGATAGAATGCGTCAAACAGCAGTAGGATTAAAATTTTTATATCATGCACATAAATTAAATGATGATAAGAACAATTGTCCTGATAATGAATGCAAACTGGATTTAGATTTATATGAGGATTGTTTAATAACGGAAGAAGTGACAAATATTTATAATGGAGCTAATAAAAATACGAATTGTACAAATCTTCATAATAATCATAAAGATAGTACACCAGGAAAAATATGCGCCATTATACGTAAAAGATCGCTAGTAGTGCATTCATATGAATTAATGCGATTTAATAAGC